CCACGGCACCCAAGGAGGTCCCTGGAGTCCCCCCCCCTCGGGTAGGGGCACCCACCCTCGGGTAGGGAGGTCCCCCGAGGCACCCACCCTTGGGTAGGGGCACCCACCCTTAGGTAGGGAGGTCCCCCGAGGCACCCACCCTCAGGTAGGGGCACCCACCCTCAGGTAAGGAGATCCCCCGAGGCACCCACCCTCAGGTAGGGGCACCAGTAGTTCCACCTGGTCTCAGAGACAGCCTTCTCCTAACACCTCGCTGCCAGGGATGGAGATGACTCTTTCATTAACGTTTGTAAAGTGCTTCGCAGATCTAAAGCTCTGCCTAAGTGCTAAGGGTTATTACTACCCATCTTCTGCCGACGATTAGAGGCAGAAATGAACTCCTCTTCCCCACTCTCTCCAGCGCGTGTCAGCAGCCTGCGCCGGGAGGCGAGCCAGCCTGCTAGCCTCAGCCTCCCTGCACTCCAGCTCCCCTTTCCCCCTCAAAACCACCCAGTTTATTGTGCGTATTCCTGGACACGACCTTTTTAGTGTTTCTTGGCCGTGTCCAGCAATTCGGCCTTACCCCGTGGTCTGCAATAGCGGATGATCTGATGGCACTGACACGGCTGTTCTGCGAGAGCTCCTGAACCGTACGAGCTCTCAGCGAGGGGAACAACACTGCTCTTTTTTGAAGGACCTACAAAGAAAAAAAGTTAACTTCTTGTTGCTCAGAATGAAAGCATTTGTCTTGTACAAATTACTTGGAATTCAGAGGGGCTTGCTTTCCTCCGATTCGGGACTATAGAAAAGGTCACCTCTGGAACCTAAATCACAGGGAGAATACTTTGCTGTCTGTTTAAAAAAGCCCCTGCGCTTCTGAAGACCCCGTAATTTGTAAGGAGCGGGGGACGCAGTACCCCACGCTCAATAGTTGAGTGGGAGATCAGCGCTGGGACACAACGCCCGGCTGGCTTCTGTGCACCTGGAGTCGTTTACATCAATGCACGCTGGCTATAAAAGCGCTCCCAGTCTGGCTTGATGGCATTTGGCACCACTCGTGCTCCGTTTGCGTGGCACCCAGGCCAGCGCAGCCCTGACCCACGCCTGGGCCTTCCAGAAAGTACTCCATGAACACAGCCAGAGGCTAGGGACACCAGGAGCCGAGGGATTTGTCACGAGCTAAGCTCCCGGGAAGCTCAGCATCCTCCCACAACGGAAATGCCGCGGTTAAGGAGGGGAAAGGAGGGCAATAACATCTCTGCGATTGTAAGGAAGTTAAACCAGGAATTTCTTTTCCAGTGAGGGAGGACAGAGCTCCAAAGCGAGACCGATTGATAACTCCGCTGAGCTTTGATTATGAAGGTGTTTTGTCAGTTAAAGGCCTTCTACAGGTCACAGTATGTTTAACGTTTTAGATAGGTAGTTTCTCTCCCGCTTCCATCACTGGGAGGTCCCTGCCTAGACGGGTCTCTAGCAGGCTCCCCCGCGCACCGAGGCTCTGCACAGCAGCGCTCGGGTAGGTTTACTGGCGACTCGGTCAAGCTTTGCGATGCGGTGTTGCGCGATGGGGAGGCGGAGGAGGAAGGGTGGGCAAGGGATGCGGGCAGCTTCCCCCAGACTCCGATCCACTTTAAAAGCAGGGGACGTGCGATCGTACCTGCTCATCCTCTCTCCCCTCAGTCCCCAGAGGGAACGGCAGAGGAAGGAGAGAATGAACATGCTTTTTGCTTAGGGAAAGCTGCCCTGTTTGCTTAATAAATACCTTCCGAAAAGCTTAGCAGCTCTGTAAACATACAAGAGATTTCAATACTTAGTAAAAGTCCATCTTTTCCCTGAACTCCCAATGACAGAGGCTGGCACTTGCTCTGTGGTTACTGCATATGGGTGGTGTGAGGACCCAGCGAAGGCCAGGAGAGGCTCCCAGGCTCCGCAGGGGCCTGGCAAAGAACGCTGGGTGTTGAGAAGCCTGTTAAATTTTTCAGTTGATCCATCCGCACGGCTCTGAGATGAGAATCCTGTCAGTCCTGCAGGAACGCCGCCAGCTCAGAGTGGTCCAGGGAACTGAGAAGTGATGACGGTGACATCCAGGAGAACTCTTTCTGGCAATGGAGGGACATGGCAGAGGGCTTTGGCTCTTCAGAACAGTGTCCTTCCCTCTCGGAGGCAGCCTGGTGGTCACTGAAGTACCCAGGAGAGAGAAAACACAGTGCCAGCCCCCTTCTTGCTGCGCCTGGCCAGGGGAGGGGAGACTGCATTTGGGGAGAATACAGCCCCAATGGCTTTAAAACAGGAGAGTGTCCTACAAAAGCAATCCCCATGGAAGTGTGACGAATTGGATCTTGGGCCAGATCCGACGTGGTAGTGCAATAGGGCCCAAAGTCTCAATCCGCTCATTTCCAAACCCACTAACACGGTACCAAGGGGGCGATCTGGCCTGGCCCCCTCGCTTCGCTCTATCCAATCCTCGAGCTTCAGAGAATCCACCCCTGTCACCCCCAGAGGATTCCCTGAAGCGAGGTATCTCACTCCCAAACTCAGCAGGTGCCCTGGGGCAAGGAATCTGCCTCTTCAATGAAATGAGACAGGCTGAGGTAGGGAACTTGCATCTGCCTTCAGTGACTCAGACCCTCTTATTGCAGCAGCCCTCGCGAGGCAACGCTTCTTCTCCCCGCCGCGAGCACGGGACTCGAGCACAATCCGTCCTCCAGACACGACACCAGTGCGCGAGCACTGTGTCACCCCAGAAGGAACGTTTCCAGCCGTCTCCTCCGATCCGAACTGCCCGATGACCACCTCCTCCAAGTATTATCCCAGCACTCAGCCTACGGGATCAGCTCTCAGAGCCGCACCCCTTTTCCCTGCACTAGAGGGCCGAAATCATGAGGTCGTCCTGCTTGGCAGGGCTGGTTACATGCCCAGAGGGGGTGGAAGTCCGGATTTTATCAGTGGCCAGGCACTCCTGGCTGCTCACGCCTGTGGGAGTGATGTCCATGAGTTCTCCAGATGAACTAAGGGGGAAAGAGGGTGAGACAGAGATGCCCGACGAAGGATCTGTTGAGCCTGCAAACAACCTCGGGGGCTTTGGGACTAGGTTGGGTTCATACTGTGCCCTCAACAGGATCTCCTGATCACTGACAGACTTGGGCATCTCTGCAAAGTCACTGGAGCTGTCTGACACCATCATGCAGTAGATGTCCTGGAAGGAGCTGCTTTTGCTATCCAAATTAAAGAGGCTGTCTATGAACTCAGCAAACTCCAGCACTTGGGGACTGGGAACGTCAGTGAGCCGGCCGTTCTGGAGGGACAGCTCCTCCCGAGGGGCTAAGGAGATTCGGTCCCCCTCGCTGCTGGCCCCCTCCTCGCTGCAGCGTCGCTGGGGGGTAGTGCCACCGCTGTTGAGCACATTGTCGGGGGGCTGAGTCTCCTGGGAGTGCTTGGAGAGGCTGTCAGCAGCCAGCAGCTCTGTCCGCGAGCTGAGGGAGGGGTTCTCCTCAGGGATAACGGGGTCTATATAAAAGCAGTGAGTCTCATCCTTCTCCATGACAGCATGGAGGCTGGGGGAGCCCCGGATGCTCCGAAAACCAGAGGAGCGCCTTGAATCAAAGCTGTAGATGGATTCATTGTCCGAGAGGCTCTCCATGGTGGCAAGAGGGGCACGACGGTCCTGCAGCTCCACAGACAGGCGTTCCTTTGTATCCAGGAGAAGCAGCTCCACAGGGTCTTTCTGCACAGGAGAAAGTGGCTTTGTCTCATAAAACCCCTCCAAGCTGATTTCAGAATGGGACTTGCTCCTGCAATGAGAAACAGACAGTGTGAGGCCATACACAACTGCAAGAAAACTCTTACCTCCAGGTGTGGTCGCCCCCTCTACCCTGCCCTGGGGAGACCCCACCTGGAGCACTGGGTCCAGTTCTGGGCTCCCCGGTTCAAGAAAGATGAGGAACTCCTGGAGAGAGTCCAGGGGAGGGCAACAAGGATGATGGGGGGACTGGAGCATCTCCCCTAGGAGGAAAGGCTGAGGGAGCTGGGCTTGTTCAGCCTGGAGAAGAGAAGGCTGAGAGGGGAACTGTGAGGGTGGCCGAGCCCTGGCCCAGGCTGCCCAGGGGGGCTGTGGAGTCTCCTTCTCTGGAGATCTTCAACCCCCGCCTGGCCGCTGTCCTGTGCCCCCTGCTCTGGGTGAGCCTGCTTGAGCAGGGGGGTGGGACGGGGTGAGCTCCGCAGGGCCCTGCCAACCCCTGCCAGTGTGGGGTTCTGGGATTCTTATCTCTGATAAGAGCTGAAAATGTTAGATACAGTTTCTTTCCTCTGCATACTCAGGTTCTTGCCCTTTTCTCATCTCTCCTGGCTAAATGTCTTCCCTCTCAAGCACCATTTTCACTTAGGACCACAGTTCTGCTCCCAGAGAAACTGCAGTGCTTCTAACTGAAGCGCCCCAAGCCACGCTGCAGTCTCCACACACGCAAACCCCTCTCTCGCCCAACACCTCTGTATTAGAGAGGACTGAGGCGAGAGAGGTTGCAGGACTAGCCTACAGTTCACCCACACCTTTCTCTTTCTTCTTACACTCTGATCCACTCCAGTTTGATGCCTTCCTCTCCTCTTCCATGCTGGCAATCCCTACCTTACTACCAGAAATGCCAGGAGGCTGATAGAGCATTGCCCACGACCAATTCAGCTTCCGTTTCAGGTAGCAGAGTTTAAAATAAGTAAAAGCACCATTTGCTCAGCTTAAGACAAGTAAAGATCTTTAGAAAGTCTCCAGCCACGCTAAGACTTTAAAAGATCAGGCAGCCTCCTCCAGAAAGACACCGTGTCAAAGCCACAGGGAAGGAGCTCTCCACACCAGGCAGACACAAAGCCTGGGATTAGCTGCAGCCCTAAAGACAAGAACTGAAGAAAATATCTGGGAAAAGAGCCTGAGCTTGGGAGAGGACTGCTACACCTGCCAAAAGGATGCGACGTATAGGGAAGGGCTTATACATTGGGCCAATATTTGATCCCTTTGTAACTTCAGTGGAGTAACGGTGATGTGAGAACAGGTTTCGAGAACCCCAAAAGAGGGAGCCTGACACAGTAACTCGAGGTTAGAGCCAGCTTAAAGACAACCGACACACAACTGTTTCTGCTCTAGCACCTCCCTGAAGCCTCTCTGCCCCCTCCCTCATTCTTTTCCCTTTTGTATCTCAGAATTCCCCCTCTGCTTTCACTCACCTCAAAGGGAAGCAGCTCCTGGGGTCGGCCCTGGCTATGGCTTGACCTAGTTCATCTTCTCAGCCTTACTGTAGCTTTCACAACCGTGGGCCGATCCCTGTTCCTCCTGTTCCATCACAGCTGCAGTGGTTTCTAAGCTCTCCTTCACTGTCTCTGACCATTCACTCTCTCTGTGACAAGAACCTTACCATTGTCATATTTGCTGTCTTATCTTCTACGTTGAAATCTCGCATTATCTCAAGGACACCCAGCTGTCCATCACTCAGCGCAGACCATCTCACCCTGCCTCCTCCCCCGACCCCACCCATGGTTGGGTCTCTCTACCTGAAATCTCCGCACAAGTGCTTCCCTCGCAAGGAAATCCTCTTCCCCCACCCGCAATGCTGTCTTCTGCTTCCACTCACAACTCCAATTTGCTATCTCTGGCTACAAACCGTCTTCCTTCTCTCGTCCTCCTTGTTGTATCTGCCAATTTGCCCTACATAACGCAATTCTGTGATGAAGAAGTCACGCGTTCCAACTTTGAAATAAGTCTTTGCCCACATTTTCATTAAGTCCTTTCTTTGCTTCTTGCAAGTCCGTGGTCCTGCAATGCCTCAAACGTTATCAGAGAATCTGCAAGGACTCCCTCTGCCATTTGCTCCTGGAGGAAAGCTGTTTGCCTACAGCACAAAGAAGGAGCTCTTCTCCAAGCCGCTCTTTTGTACACCTTCTCAGCGTTCCCCTGCCTTTTGGCCTTTGCCAGACTGCTGGTGTCAGTGCTCAGCGATGGTCCAGCTTTCAGCAGACAGCCCCTTCAGCCTCTTCCCCTCACCTTCTGTCCGCTAGACTGAGCTTCCTGCTCTTGTCCTTCAGGAACAGGACACCAACTGCTCTCCCCTCGCCTGTATCCATGTTCCCACATTGTCCTGCTTATAACATTGCACAAGTCACATCATAAAGCAGCTTTAAAGGCGTATCTTGTGGTGAGCTTATGGCTTTCCCTGCTGCTCAGCTTTTGAGAATGGCCATACAGGCTATCTTGGGGCACATAAATCACACAGGAAAACAGAAATTTGGTTGCAAGACTGCAAGCTTTGCCTTTATGGTTTCAGGGGAAACCCCACTTGCCTGGATAAGGAGAAAAGGAAGTTTCTTCCGTACCCTCAACTTCTAGGTTCTCCTGACCTTGCTGCACTCACAGATGCTTGAGCAACACAAAGGAATTTTCCCCCGCAACATGACACAAGACATACTGAAGCTAAGCAGAAGTCCCACAAGCAGAAGTCCCCCTCTTAGATCTATCCTTTCTGCGAACGTTGACCACAATGCCCCAGGAGAAAGAGGGCCCACACCTAAAGCCCGCAAGCCTTCAAAGAAATCAAAGATATATCCTTACTTAGTACTGCTGTTCCTTCTGTCCGCTGTTACGGCTCCAGTTCCGATCTGCACTGAGGGTCCACTAGGTAAGGGCTGACTCTGGAAGATCAACTCTGGGGTGAGATCCACTTCTGTAGGACTCACCATCACTTTGGCTGCAGAAAGTAAAGCTGTTTTCCCCTTGTTGTAATTCTCCAAGACCTACGCAAGGCAAGCAGAGGAACAGTAGTGCTTTACTGGAGATAGCAGCTTTGCTGTTCTCAGCTCCGGAGTTTCAAACGGCTGGATTTGCCCGTTTCTTACCAAGGCCTTCTGCAAGCACAGGGCTAGGCATCGGGACAAAGGATTATATCAGTGATTTCTGACCTACTCTACCCCATCAGAACGCCCTGCTGGGAATCCAGTGCTGGGAAGGCAGGAGCAGCCTTCAGCCCAGCAGGGCAGGGGAGACTTGGCTAAATCCCCACGGTGGAGCTGCGTGGCTAGAACTGTAGCTTAGTGGCGGAGACCCCTTCCACAACCGTTACACGTAAGATCAGTCGCCCCTCAGACTACCAGAGGGGCTGCAGCCGTGGAGGATTTCACCTGAACTGCAGTCTGTAGCGGGCAGCTTCCGAGAGAAGGAACCAAACACCCAAGCTCACATTATTATGGCATTAAATTTGGAAAGACCACCTCGTCGGGGACTGTAGGTATTGGGATGGAGATCTACCTCCATTTCCAGACCTCATTACATTCAGCACTAATAGCCTGTGCATCACTGGCCCAGAGCACAATCTTTTTTACTCCTCCCCTCCAAATGAAATGGTCTTGTGTACTTAAACAGCCAGCTTTCCTGAGCAAAGACTACCTGTTTGGCCTACATAAAGGCCTGTGACAAGGTACTCGTTTTATTAGGGCACCGAATGGCTATAGCTCTTGCAATAACCAGTGCTCTAGGAGAGCCTGCTTTAGCAGGGGGGTTGGACTAGATGATCTCCTGAGGTCCCTTCCAACCCTTACGATTCTGTGATTCTGTGAATAAGAATTACTAAAACTGGACTTCCCAGCTCTCTCACAGAGCTTTGGCTTGGCACCAAGAAGCCTAATCAGCTCACACGCCTTGTCCATTTTGTGTTTACTGCTCGCCTCATCAGCATCACCATGCTGAGCCTTTCTTGCCCAAACCTGGGCCTCTCGGGCATTCAAGCCAGAGCCCGCATTATTGCGCCGAATGATCCCTCCCCACTCCTAATCCTAATTCTCTGCCTTACCTTGTTGAGCCCTTCCATGACCACATAGGGGAGGTGTTCGTGCAACATCGCTGGCGAGATGATCACTTCGTTGAACGCCTTATTGTCACCCCAGATAGCAAAGTAAGTGGGATCCTCTTGCTCGCAGCAACTGGAAGAGGAGTGGGGATCCAAAGAGAGGGGAAAAGAGGGAGCAGGAGATGGAAGAGCAGGCCAATGTTTTGGCGTGCAAAAGAAACGGCAGGTTGCAGAGACAGAAAGAGCAACAGGCGAAAAAACAGAGGGAAGATATTAAAGTACACATGCAACTGCCATGGCTCCACAGCTCTGCGCTAGCCAACAGCGATGTGACTTTCTATTCTGACAGCACAGACACAATCACTGTCACCGAAAGACAGCGAAAAAGAAAAATCCCCTCCTTCATAGATGGGTTCCTGTCTTGGGGAGTCTTTTCCAAAAAGAAAATTTTCACCACCGCCCGGGGGCTGGCTTCGCAGCTCTGCGCAACACTCACCAGCACTGCTCCGCAGGATGATTGTGCACCACGTGGATGATGCGGCCAGGCGGGTAAAGCGGTGTGCTTGCCGACAGGGCAATAGTCAGGTCGCTGGGATGGGTCCAGAGGCGGTTACTCGTTACTGAGTTTTCTTCCGTCTCTTCAGGGAGCTCTGACTTGGGTATGCACTTCGTAGCGCCCACGATGATTCGCCACTGTTCAACACAAGAGAACAGAGGGAGAATATTGAGAAGAGAAAGACATCAGAGAAAAGCAGAGTCAGCTCACAAGAACATTAGTGGTAGATTTAAACTGAATACCTAATACCAGAAAAGAGAAAAACAGGTCTTGTGCCCTGATTGCTTAAATAGCAGACCTAGAGATAGACATAACCCTGCCCAGAAAAGCTGTTTCTTCCTTTCCCAATTTTAACCTCAGAAGTGGCCACATCTCATCCTTCTCTGGAGGTTTCTGTAGAGCTAAGGATCTAGAGCAAGCGCCAACTTGTCCACCAACTGGTAACTTCACGTCTTCCAGCATAAAGAAGGTAGATGGAATCTGAATTTTTAATGTACGACAATGAGCAAAAGACTATACAACATGAACAGACAAAATTGCTGGTTAGGCTTTTCTTTATGCACTGAAAGGAATCCTAAGAAACCCACAAATTCACAAAAACCCCCATAAGCCAAAACACCAAAACCATAGAATGCTAACAAGAAAAATAAACGTAAACTCAGTTTTTTCCCCTCTACAGATCATTCCTATAATATTTTCCCCCTAAAAATCTTAGTGTCTTATGTTTTTTCCATCTCAGTGTACTGGTAAAGAAGCCTGGGGAAGAACAACTTTCCACGTTTCCTATCTCCAAAACATTAACAGACCGCTTATCCTCGAACAGCACCACCCCGACAACATGCAGCAGTGCCTATAAGCAGACGACTGTTGTATTTCCTAGCCTGTTACCATTTGTTACTGGCCAAGAAAACCTACAGCTGGAACGCGGACTTCAAAACAGGCTCAGATGAGAAAATTTCCTGCTCGGTTATTTTAGATCTGTGATAGTAAACTTCCAGCACGTGAGCCAGAGTCATCACACAGCCTGCAAAGAGAGCAGCCCCCTGCCCTGAACTCTCCAGCTGCCTTCCAGCTCCTGCCATCACTCCTCTGGTTAGCTAGAGCGCCTCTGGATACCTAAATAGTAGTCACGGTGGACCGGAGGAGACTGGAGGGCAGGAGAAGTCTGCAGTATTGCTATGTGACAAGAAAAGTCTACCATCACTGCTCAGAGAGTCACCCTCAGGTGTCTCTTAATCTTTACTCTTACCTTTGGTTTGTTACTTCTTTGAAGAACATCCAGAAGCTGCCGGCGAAATCCCTCCAGCTGAGAGAGACCGATTCTGGAAAAGAGGAAGATGTGTTTACAACAGCCGGGCAGGGGACAGGAGGCAGGCAACGGGGGAGTAGGGGGGCACAGCACAGCAGAACAAGAATCTATTCCACAAAAGGTACTGTAGGAATGCAACAAAGCCATTCCGAGGTGGGGTGTGGCATCACCCAGGACCAGTAACCAGGGTTAAGAGGCCACAGGAAACCATCGTGACGGTAAATAAATATGAAATGTGATGGCAGAATCCGATCAGTGAACACAGATACGAGAGAGGAACAGATAAGGAGGGAGACGATGCAATTGCAGAAACAAGCGAGCAAGAAAGGATGACACAGAACAGATAAATTAGAAAGGTGGCACAGAGCTGTGACAACACTAACCAGATTACAGGGCGGACAAGATTTTGCCATACAGGTTACCAAAAGGCATATTCGATACCATTTAGTACTTTCCCTCCACTGAATTCTATGTGCCTTACATTGTACAGACAGAAACGTCACCGTTTATCTGAGGTCACGGGGCAGAAGCAAAAAGTAAACCCCAGGCTGTCTGGCTCCTTGTCCAATGCCCTGTTCAGCAGAACACATCCTAGGAGATGATGAGGTAAGAAATGCCAAGACACAAGAAATGAGGGAGCTGGTTCAGAGATGTGAGATGATATGGAATAGGTGTTCGGGGACAAACAGCACAAAATGAGATGATGGCACATCTAGTTCAGGGCGGCGTGTAAAGAGATCTGAGAGAACAGAGGCAGATAGCATCGACATGTCAGAAACCACAGGGAGTACGATTACAGAGACAGGGTGTTCACCTTTTTCTTTCATACAGGCAGCGGAGAGATGGCGAGGGAGATGCCTATAAAAAGGTGTGTGAAGCACTAATATAGGTGTCCAGGTAAAAGACACGGCAATAGAGGGGATCAGGAAGCCAGGTAAGAAGCATACAAGGACAGGTAAATGAGGAAACTGGGGACAGATATGATCCAAGTGTTTCTGATAGGAAACAGGCGACCAGTATGGAACAGCAGATACTCATCAAGAAATTCAGACACTTCTCAACTTGCCTGGGCACTAGATCTTTGCCAAGCACGACTGCAGTCACAAACTCTTTTGAATACTCCATGGCATCCTCGCTGGAAGAGAAACAGGACCAAGAAGCAGCAAACAGTGTTTCACTAGCAGAAAACTGCACTTCATTCCCAGTTTGCCACTGGTGGCAGAGACATTCCCAAACAGCGTACCAGGGTCATAAAACCCACAGCCCAAGGTGCTCAAGGCTTTTGGGACTTGCACCCTGATAAAGAAAAGCTTGATATTCACATCCCATGCCCCAAGCAACGTTACTCTGCGTACGGCTCTGAATATACGCGGAAAAGGGAGTTCTCTAACTCAGTGCCTCATAGTCGTTTCCCAATAGCTTCCAGAACGGCCAGGACAGGAGAAAGGAAGATGACACTCCATGCTCCCGAGACTACTTTACAAAGACACTGCAGACCTAAGATGGCCACTTTCTGCAGCAACCTGAGTACCAAGACAAGAGGGAATTAAGGCTTCCACTCTGTGAGCTGGCTTTGCAATCAGCCCCCTTCCTAGAGACCTTCTTCTGAACCAGTTACCGCAGGCAGAGGCTGCATCAGTGACCTAGAGATGATCCGGGGCACGACACACAGTGCAACCAAAGGCGTGGCAGCCAGAGGCACCTCCTTGAACTCCCAAACAGTTGAGGTAACGCAGCACAGCTTGGCCCGAGCTATCAAGGGATGTCAGGAGTGGAAGCTCTGAGCAGAAAGCTATACAACTTTCATGAAGCATTCTACAGAGCAACTCCTCTATAGCTGCAGAAGACCGGGGATTATCGTCATAACAAGGCATGGCAGTACCCAGATTCATTAGCAGGATGGTTTAAAACCGTTGGCTGCTCCTGGAACATGAGGCAGTAACTACCAGAGGAAGCTTCTGATAATCCATAGCTGCCTTCAGGTGCCCCCACCCCGATGTCTGTTGCAACTAGAAAGACCTTATCTCGTTTCACAGCAACCAAGGAGGATGTTTTTGTTTGGCTGCCACATAAATAACATGACCAGCAGGTCTGTTCCAATTCACAGTGGGAGGAATTCACCATGCCTCTCTTCGGAGACCTGGGGCAGGCACCCTCTATTCCCCTTACAGCCGAGGGAGAGAAACCGGCACCCAAGAAGCACAGTCCCTCTGACCTGTTCTAGGCACCCACTTTAGAATGCCAAAAATCACGCTCCAGAAAGTGCCCATTTCTTTGTCAGCTGCAAAAGGAGTCCAAACCACTAGATCAACCGATGCAGCCGTCCACGTTCGGTCAAGTATCTCCCCTACTGCACCTCTATTCACAGCAGATGGGGAGGGGACACACTGGCACTGGGCAGAGCGTAAGGAAATTGCACCCTCTCCACTCAACTTGCATTTTCCACCGGTCAGGGTGAAATTTGAGCTACAGCTACAGACAACTAAGTCGTAAACCAAAACATTTGGGAGAGCGGCCATCATAACCTGAACTGCAAACTATAACACAGAGCAAAGGCTGCCAACAACCCTCAGCTCCTAGAGACCGCCTCTCCATTTTATTGCATGCTTCTCAGGGGCAGAGGTTTGTCTTTTACTGCTTCTCAGAGCGTCACAAACAGGATCTGATCCAGCTACAACTACAGCCCACACCCTCCCCTTTTCTCTCACCAGCCCTCCTTGCCCCAACACCTACCTCAGCAGCCCACCTGGGGGAGAATAGGCAAAGCACTTCAGTGATGGGTACTGCGGACGCAAGAGGAAGGACAGGATGGCAGCCGTGCCGGCCCCTAGGGAATGACCAACCACGATCAGGCCATAGTGTTTTGTTCCTCTCCCCTGAAAACAAAAAAAAAAAACAAAACAAGAAATTGAGGTCAGACTGAAAGGTAAGTCCACAACCCCCAAAATCTGTCCCTTTCCCCAGCTGTGGGTCTTTCCTCTACACGAGCACTCCAGACTCCAGCCAACCAGCTCCTTCACCAATGGGAACCGGTGAGGGTACGTTAGATTTTGAAACGGAAGCAGGGTTCTGATTGACACTGTTCAGTCTAAGTCACAGTGGCAGCCCCAGCACGCTCCTGCCCTGCTATGTTGCTTGTTGGGAAGGCGTGCGAGCATGCTTTCTCTTCTGGTATCCTCTCCTACATCTCCATCAGTCAGTGTTTGACCTACTGGGGCTTCCCTAAAAGAAAACAGGTAGGAAGAAAAAGGAAATGTAGACAAGTTGAGTTATTTAGGATTTTTTATGAGCCTTCTGCTCCTCCTCATGTCTGACAGCCTTCATCCGAGTCCAGGCTCACACATCCGAAGCCTCCTTGGTTCTCAAAACCACTTGCTTTCATTAATTCACCGCTGTGCAGGCTGAAAAACAAAACTCCTGACCAGCAGTTTGAACAGTAGTCTTCCAAGTCCAGATGCTCTCAACAGCTGGCCACTGCTGAAGGAATTCAGAGACAGAACTATTCCCTAATATTTTGTACTGGCGTTATTCGGAGGCTAGAGTGCTAGGCGTGGCTTAGAGCTTGCAAGTTCACTAAGGCAACATTTGTAAAGTTTCAGTCTTGTGTTTCTGCAGAGCTCTGCTAATGCCCCATAGGCTTTACATAGGGAGAGAGAACCCAGCATCCGACTCTCCATGGCCCCAGGTCACCACTGTGGTGGCGACACTTGGGACTTCTGCGTAAGACGAGAAAACACACATAGAACCTAAGAGCAGGCCACGAGAATGAAAGCTCTTCGTGTCATTTGCCTTCCCAAGACCAGCTCTAAGCCACCATCGTGCCTGTTACAGCCAGTGAGGTGAATGCTGGGGGAGATTTAAGACTTCACACACCTCACTTGTACTTTTTCCCTGAGTATCTGTTGCTGGCAACTGTCAGAAACAACGTACTGGGCTAGATGAACCTTTGGTAGGAGCTGGGCCGGAGTTTATGTTGTGGCCATAGCACTTGTTCAGATATTCCTCAGAGTTCAGCTTCAGACAGTACTTGATTTTCTACACACCAGCCAGTTGCTCCATCTCATATTAATCAAGTTTTCTCCATCCTTGTGGGCCAGGCCCAGCCAGTTAGAAGCTGGACCCACCATGCATAAAGCCAGCTTCAAACAGAACAGAATATGATTATTTATGATCCTATACAGGAGGCAAGGGAAGTATAGAGCTTCAAACGTCACCGTATCCTCAGTCAGGTAGCAACCACGCTCTATCGGACATCAGGAAAAAATTCCACCTGAGTTAACAGCTCACTGAAGACCAATTTTCATTTTCTGGGCAGAGAGGAATAAAGCACCATAGAAAAAAGTCAGATGCCTATGTACCTCTCCCTACATCTACCAAACATCACAAGGTGGACACTTCAGTGTTGACTGGTACAATGCTCAAGTTTCAGGGAACCGTTGAGGCTTTTGGGTCTCTTTTCTTCCTCCCTTGAGCTCTTGCCAACTTCCCCATGGGCACTGCTCAGGCCAAGGCGCTCTTTGGGCATGAGAAAAGGACGACTGTCTGAGAGCGGGGAATCGGGCAGCTCCCCAGTTCCCTCCCCAACGGGGACATAGTCTATGATGCATGGTCTGACATCTCAACTAAAGTAAGCAGCTTCATAACATCTCTCTTGGGTTATCCAATAGCTCTCTCTCACAAGAAATGTGCGCACACAGTCAGCATGGCATCCCATTGCTGCCTCCAAAGAGAATCTCCATAGAGATGGGATTTTAGTTCCTGTTGATTTGTTTTTAATGTTCCCTGCCCTGCATTGCCACCAAATGGGACTTCCTGCCTTAGCTTTGCCTGAGAAAAAACAACCAAAAAATAAGAATCAGGAGCTCTGCAGTACTGGCGGTTTCGCAATAAAAAAGCCTTGGGGGAATGAGTAACTGGTTGTCTGGCTGGAGATCCAGAGGGATGGGAATTGAAGGAAGATCTGAGAAATTAGTACAACAGATTCAGGGACACGGAGGTTTCCCTAAAACCATCTTCTGTATAGCCTGCAAGGATAAAAGAAAACTAATACTCACTAAGTCTCGTCCAAAAGCTTGAGAAAGCACCATTTCTTGCTCCAATTTCTTCTTGATGTACTCAGCAGACAGCACCATTCCCTGAGGGAAACACAAAGACAGAAGAGGATGGAAACGGTCGCGTTATCGGCCCTGATCTCAACACCTATAGCAGCCACCATACCGCCCCGACCGCTGTGTCAGCTCTGGAGCGCGTCAGGGTGGAGGAAGCGTGCTGCCTCCGCTCCGCGTTCGGAACAGACTTCATTAGGCACACGTCTTGGCTCACTGGTTACCAGAGCCACAAGCTGTTTAGAAGTAACGACGGTTCTTAAATTAAGATAATACTCAAGGGCCCTATTCCTGGGCTCACGGTGCAAAGTCTGGGAAAAAACCAAACCCAAGAAACACCACGAAACAACCAACTTCTTAAACACAACCGTGTGCACCTGGTAGTTCAGCAGACACTGGGGCCTGCAGTAGAATGGAGGAACAAACTTTGATTTTCTGCACGTCAGTGCCTTAACTGCAAAACTTCCATTTAAATCTGTGAATAAAAGCATGAACGACCCTAACGAGTTCATAGGGAAAACATCACAAACGCCAAGACACTACTGGAGGGAAAAAGTGGCAGCACTATCCGTACAGGAAGAGTTATTGATGCCTGGAGAAGGCAGCAACTACTAATGGGATTCAGCTGTCAAAGGGCATTAAGGCCAAATTATTAAAGGTTTTTATTCATGAGAAGCTAAGAACTGCCGGAAGATGGGAAACAAGCTGACAGTCTGGTTCTAAACATTTATCCTCGCTGCTGATGGCTGCATCTGAGGAGTCTTTCTCCCTCTGTGTAATAGTTACAAATGCAGTTGATCTGTTAGCAAAGGGCCGGGCTTTAGCAGTGGGATGGCAGGGTTAGGGTCATGGAATCCCAGAATCCCAGACTGGCAGGGGTTGGCAGGGGCCTCCGGCGCTCAGCCCGGGCCAACCCCCTGCCCAAGCGGGCTCACCCCGAGCA